TGTGGCCTACTTACCTTGACAAACAAAGAATTCCTACATGTTTAAAACTGCTCCGACAAATACCGTGACATGTTTCTGATTTCATGCAACAGTTTTAATCCGTAAACGTGTTGTCGTGTGTTCCAGTAAGACACATAAATTGCTCGCTATTTATAACATATATAATGGCTGCTGCAGATTTGTTCAATGTCGGTTCGCCTTCCTGATTTGTACTACGCCACTTTGGTACACAGCGTTAGGCCACATACACTATCTCCATGATCCAGTTAAAGAGTCTGTACACTTTTTTTAAAGTGTGACAAGCACGGGTAAGAGAATGTCGCAGGGCTCTGGTGGCCTGATCGATTGGTTCGAAATATGCGAGAATTGCCCGAAACATATAAAGTCGCATCGCTCCTATAATATAAAAAGCTCTCCAATTCACCATTGACATACATGCGCTTTATTGCCCCACCAACATATACATTTTTTAACGCCCGTAATAAGAGGAACACTACAGAGAAACGGGTAAGTTTTTATTTTTTTAAAAAAGAACGTTTACAAATCAACTTGTGACAAATTATTTTACCCCAATAACTGATGGTCTGGAGATCAAGTCCCACCTTATTGATCTCCTCTAAATTTTAATGGTCTCCGGCATTTATCCACCACCTTATTGATCGCCTCTATATTTAAGAGACTGCGGCATTTATCAACCACCTTAATGATCGCCTCTATATTTAAGGGACTCCGGCATTTATCCACCACCTTATTGGTCGCCTCTATATTTAAGGGACTGCGGCATTTATCCACCACCTTATTGATCGCCTCTATATTTAAGGGACTGCGGCATTTATCCACCACCTTATTGATCGCCTCTATATTTAAGGGACTGCGGCATTTATCCACCACCTTATTGATCGCCTCTATATTTAAGGGACTGCGGCATTTATCCACCACCTTATTGATCGCCTCTATATTTAAGGGACTGCGGCATTTATCCACCACCTTATTGATCGCCTCTATATTTAAGGGACTGCGGCATTTATCCACCACCTTATTGATCGCCTCTATATTTAAGGGACTGCGGCATTTATCCACCACCTTATTGATCGCCTCTATATTTAAGGGACTGCGGCATTTATCCACCACCTTATTGATCGCCTCTATATTTAAGGGACTGCGGCATTTATCCACCACCTTATTGATCGCCTCTATATTTAAGGGACTGCGGCATTTATCCACCACCTTATTGATCGCCTCTATATTTAAGGGACTGCGGCATTCATCCACCACCTTATTGATCGCCTCTATATTTAAGGGACTGCGGCATTTATCCACCACCTTATTGATCGCCTCTATATTTAAGGGACTGCGGCATTGATCCAGCACCTTATTGATCGCCTCTATATTTAAGGGACTGCGGCATTTATCCAGCACCTTATTGATCGCCTCTATATTTAAGGGACTGCGGCATTTATCCACCACCTTACTGATCGCCTCTATATTTTAATTGTCAGCGGGATTTCAGGGCGAAATATGCCCGATATGCGAGAAACGTTAAAGTTTAGATCGCATCTACACTATAAAAGCCCCGTCATTCATCATGTATTACGTGTGCCTAATTGCCCGACCCACGTATACATCTGTTACCGTCCGTATTAAGAAGAACACTTTAGAGAAACGGGTAAGTTATTATCTTTAAAAAAACAAAAACAACAACAACTGTTTCTTTTTACCAATCACCGTAATGAAACTTACTAGATGCTTGGGGTCGATCAATCTTCATAAGTACAATTTCAGTACCGTGTAATCTCCATTCAGTGTATAGTAAAGGATGTTCACGTGTTTGTTAGAACGCACTGTGTTGTACGTGGTTTTTTTTTCAAATGGTAATTTGAAAATTGTGACAAGCCTTCCTAAAAAAGAAAATTGCATGCCCAAAAACCACCTCTTCTCAAGCTTGATAGTGTATAGTGGTTGTATAGTACCAAACAGGAAGGCTAATCAATGCCTCGAGAAGGCAGACCAAGGTACGTCCTTTAGAATCGGTCGTCCTGGAAGGCTCGTGGCTTGGCTGTGGCCGTGCCGCCTTGTGGACGGGTTGCAAGAGGGGCCTCAATAGTTTTATTTTTTTTTTACCAGGGTAATTGGATCATATCAGAAGACACAGCATTGCAAATAAATTCTTTTTTTTTACACTTTTTTTTATTAGGCTTGAGATTTGATTGTCTGAGTATCGGTTTCAACGCACCTCTTTATGTCCAGTTGAGCTGAAACTAGGTACAGTTACCAACCCTCGATGACATTACAAACCATCATGATAAGTTGGTCACCCGTTAACTCAACTGACCCCAGCAGCGTCACATTTCGAAATAGCCAAAAAATATCTCATTTAAAATGAGGCCGGCAAATGTGGTTGGGGGGGGGGGTGGCGATATTTAGGGAAGTCGCTGTCGTAATGCGGTATTTTATCGGATCGCGACGACGTGGGAGCGTAGTGGAGGCAGAGAGGAACTGGATAAGTTCAGAACATCTTATAGAGCTAGAAATACAAAGTCAACCCATGAATATTATTTCAAATGATGAGAGACACTTGCTGTAGTGATCGCATTTTTGTCCAGTGTTGGTCTTATTGTAACTTGGTACTATCATAAATTGGTACTATTATAAACTTGATTTTATAAATTACTTGGTCCTATTATAAATTGGTCCTGTTATATCTTGGTCTACTATATAATGGTCCCATAATTAACGTGGTTTTACTATAAATCGGTCCTGCTATAGTTGGTCCCACTATACGTTGGACCTACTATACCTTGGTCCTATTATAACTAAGTTATATAAGTCGCTCATTTCCCATGGCGCTGTTATATCTATTCTACACTGAGGGTAATTTCAAGAATTCTCCATTTATTGCCACACTCAACAATGGTTGCATAAATAAACTTTTCTTTTTTGAAATTGGAAATTAAAAAAAAATATATATTTTAACGCATCGAGTCTATAAAGATAAGAGATAACGAAAGTAAGACTTTAGCAGACAGGTTAATTCTCTGTTTAATTTATTGCTTTGATTGATTTGATATTTATATCGCGCCGGTATCCATGCCATGTTAGCATGCTCACTGCGCTATGGTCCTCCAAAATCTATTTTAAAAAAAAGTTTTTAAGTGTTTCTTAAATGATTTTTTTATCATTTACAACCCCACATGAAAAGGCAGGACACTTTATTAACATGCGACACATGGTTTTTATAAGATGTGTCTGATTTCGTTTCCCCCCCCCCTTTTTTTTTTCCCAACCCAGGTCACGTTGGCCCAGGCCTGGCATTATGCCGTATCTTAGTTTATATATTACGCATTAATATAAGATGTTAACAAATTCTTCTCACCCATTTTTTAATTGTTTCTTAAATTTTTTTTTTATCATTTACAACCCCATATGAAAAGGCAGGACACTTTATTAACATGCGACACATGGTTTTTATAAGATGTTTCTGATTTCGTTTCCCCCCCCCCTTTTTTTTTTCCCAACCCAGGTCACGTTGGCCCAGGCCTGGCATTATGCCGTATCTTAGATTATATATTACGCATTAATATAAGATGTTAACAAATTCTTCTCACGCAATGCAATATTCGCTTTTGCTTTCTTCCAGGTCCCTAAACAGCTTTTTGTTTTCCTTCACAAAAAATGACATCAAAAGCACAGGATCAAACGACCGGCAATACTGCTTCAAGGTCACCAGCTGGACACATTCATGTTGGAGATGTTCTTGAGTCGACGCCACTTACAGGTATTTGTCACCATCGCAGTCCAGTAGTGTGTCCAAATAGTGTTGTCATGAGCAAAGCAAAATCGAAGCAAACTAAAAGTGGAAAAACGAGAACGGAAAAAACATTAACAAACACCTTTGAAAAAAAAAAAACGTTAAAATAATATACGATTTGTTTTCAAAGCTTGACAATTTGAGCGTTTTGTACACATAACAATGTACATGTGTAAAAAAAAATAAATAAAAAGTTTAATCAAAGTTTTAAGTTTTCAACGTTTTCTATTTAACAATTGATAAGGCTGTGGAAAGAAACGGGGGGAAGGGGGGGGGATAAGCTGAAAAAAATACAAACAACGTAAATCATAATCTGGTGTCCAAAGATGAAATATTGCAGTAAATGAAATGAATTTGCTGTGTTACCTTTTCACTATATTCTGGTGTATGTGTGGTAGCAGGTAGCACATATTCTAGTGAAAGTTTGACAACACGCAGCCCCATTCCTTTAAAAAGAATTATCGGCTCTTGCAATCTTAAGTTTCTGTTTTTTTTGTGTTTTTTTTTACTATTAAGTAGATTTGTCTTGTAAACCCTAAAAGATTCTTTCTGAATGGGAAGATCTTTGCGCTGATTCTAATACTTATGACAAATTCATATTCTGCTATTAATGTATTGTCTGACTGAAGAGGCCCTGGCTATTTAAGTGGCCCAAAGTAAAGATGGAAAGATATTACCGTCTAATGTAGGTGGGGAGTGTCAAGTTGTTAGAATCCCTGAGCGCCTGTTTTGTTCCAGGCGAACTAACTATAAGTTCTGGTATAGCGTAGGGATACAAAGGGAAAGGGGGTAGTTCGGTAGCGTGTGCAGGTGGTCAGTTGGTCAGCACAGCAGGGAGAGTGAGTGGGGTAGGACGCTAGTCCACTGATCCCGTTAGTAGGAAGTCTTTTGGCTAAGTGTGTTAGCAAGACTTACCGTACTAACTGGATGTGTCGTTATATTGATTGTGTGCTAATTGTAGTATCTTAATAAAGTTTTATTGAAGGTTTTATAGTCCAGTGTTTGTGTACTCTGGTGTACTGGTGTTTAGTGACAGTGTGTAGTAAATGATCATACCCCCTAGACAACGGAGACGAGACCATCAATACTATATCAAATAAGAGATTCGTGACAGGGAGGGAGGGAAAAAAAAAGAAACGAGAAGTGGATAGCGAACAAGGCTCTACATAGGGTTGTGGTGTTGAAAGAATGTATGGATGTAGACTGTTCTTCACTAACACGTTTACTTGAATACACAGACAGCGCTGAAGGATGTGGGAATTCCCCTGCTGACAGTGGTGTTGTTGGTCGACAAAATCCAGTGTGTCAAGATACAGAGCCAGCCGCTATTGAGCGACGTGGCGATTCCTCTGCTGACAGTGATAGTGTGGGTCGACAGAATGTGGTGTGTCAAGATACACAGCAAGACTACAGAGAAACCCATGAAATAGCTACTTCGACGTCTTCACTGAAAAAGAGATTCTATTTAAATTATCATGAAACTCTTGTTACAGTTCAGCTCAGTGAGTATCTAAGCAATAGCTTGGATTTGTTCATATGTCAAATGTAGTAAAAAAAAAAATAATGTGGTATGAATATTTGAATAGATAATTACTGGTGCATCATTTTTTGCTTCATATTAAATATAATTACGAGACCACATAATGAAGTTAAAATATTATTATTTATAGTTGGATTCGGTTTTATTAACATCAGAAGACTATTGTGTAAGATTATAGTTTATCTACTATCAACAAGGTACAGTATTAAACAGCAGTATATCTAATATCAACGATGTACTTTAGTGTACAGTGGCTTATCTAATATCAACAATGTACAGTATTATACAGCAGTATATTTAATATCAATAAAATTACAGTAAAGTACAGTAGTTATCTAATATAAACAATGTACATTACGGAAGTGCAAAGTAGTTTATCTAATACCATCAATGTACAGTAGTGCACAGTAGTTTATCTAATACCATCAATATACAGTAGTGCACAGTAGTTTATCTAATACCATCAATATACAGTAGTGCACAGTAGTTTATCTAATACCATCAATGTACAGTGGTGCACAGTAGTTTATCTAATACCATCAATGTACAGTGGTGCACAGTTTTTTATCTAATACCATCATTGTACAGTGGTAAAGAGGTTTTGAATTTTTCCACAGATCCCGTGGTTGACATAGAGGAAATGTACGTCATGAAACTGGACGTTACCGATGCAATCTGACTGCCGTTGTTATACGGGACGTGGTGTCTACCCTGATAATCCAGGCTTTAAATGGAGCCGAACATCTACTTTATCAAGTCAACCTGTAATTCATATTTGTGTTGACGAGATCATAAGACATTTTATTTGTTTATAACGTTGAATATGTTTATGTCTTATGTATTATGTCTATTTTGTTAAGGGGAAAGCAAATGTTTATGTCTTCTAATCGACACATTTTTGACTATTATTTTTAAATAAAATGCAATTCTATGAAAATGCAATTCTATGAAAATGAAATTCTATGAAAATGCAATTCTATGAAAATGCAATTCTATGAAAATGCAATTCTATGAGCTTAATATAAAAAGAATAATAAATAAAATAAAAAAAATAAAAAATAGTATATCTTTTTTTATAAAGGAAAAGCAATTTTAACATGTTAGCGAGTTCTTAAATATCTATTGAAGGAATTTTTTTTTCAATGTGAAGTGTGAGGTGGGTGGGTATACGGTAGATTGGTCTATAATTGGAATAAGATTTTTTTGTTCAATCTTAAAGCCAAAAGCGCACGTATTTTGTGAACACCTTATCTTTCAAATATAAGTTAATTGTATATATAAGTTAATTTAAATATAAGTTAATTTAAATATAAGTTAATTGTATATATAAGTTAATTTAAATATAAGTTAATTGTATATATAAGTTAATTTAAATATAAGTTAATTGTATATATAAGTTAATTTAAATATAAGTTATTTGTATATATAAACAAATGCAAGTTGCCTTAAAGATATGACTTCTATAACACCCCTTTTTACAATTATATTTAAAAAAAAAAAAAAACAACTGGCATGAGTTATTAATGTCATGCCTTGTGCTGTATTTCGAAGCCTGCGTATATATCTTCCTAGTTAATTTAAATATAAGTTATTTGTATATATAAACAAATGCAAGTTGCCTTAAAGATATGACTTCTATAACACCCCTTTTTACAATTATATTTAAAAAAAAAAAAAAAACAACTGGCATGAGTTATTAATGTCATGCCTTGTGCTGTATTTCGAAGCCTGCGTATATATCTTCCTTACGGTAAATTGATCCGATTTTGTGGACAAGAACAAACCATAATGACATGGTAAAATGTCTTTCAACGGTAGATGCTATTTACCACAATTACCTACAAATGTAACGTGGCTCATTAAACGATTGTTCAAAGTCGCGTATGTCTCTGGCACAGTCTAATCGACACAGTTAACTCTTTGACGTTGACAAGTTGACAATAGTTTGGAACAGGATTTTCTCTGAAGGCTTATAACGAATTTCAATAATATTTTGTGATTGTTTGGTGCTACATTTTAACTGACTACTGTTGGTGCTACATTTTAACTGACTACTGTTGTTGCTACATTTAACTGACTACTGTTGGTGCTACATTTTAACTACTTACTGGTAAGACAATTTTGAAGCAAAAATTAAGATTTAATGAGTTATTTCAGCCCTTATCTGAATTCATTTATTTTTTTTTAAAAATATTTTTTACACATTTTTGGATATAATCTTTTGAAAAGTTACAATTGATGACGTTACAATCCTTTTACACGACGTTACATGACGTCAGGGACGTGTCCAAATAGGTAAAGGACGCAATTTGTTTCCAATCCAAGTTAAGGGGAGAGACGCCCCTACATGACGTTACTTGTTGTAAAATGGCAATGAATGATGTTACACGTTGTATTAAATGACGTTATATTACGTTCAATAAACGAAGCTCAACTTTGCAGCATTTATGTTAATTTGCCTCGTTTTGTTAAATAACCATTTTTTTTAGAAAAAAAAAAGTTACATCTCTGTTATAAAACTGGCAATACAAAATAACAATTAAATGTATTCTGTAACGGTGTCGTTGTTCTATTTCATTGAAAGTCGTTTTTTTTGTGCTTGAGTATTTTGTGTTTGAGAGCTGAATGAAATAACAGTTAAAAACTGTATTGCATTACAATATATAAGGATTTTTGTCCTACTAAAAATATAAAAATTCAATTGAGATTGCATAATTCGGCTTATAATATATATATATATATATATATATATATATGCAGTTGACATCAATGGATGTAAGTCTCCTATTTTGAAATCTACTGACGACGAAGTCGGCGCTGGTGTTTCATTCGTGGTTGATGGTGAAAATTTCAAGGGATGACCAAATACACCTTTTCCTTTTACTGTGCTGCTTCTGAAATCGCTGCTCTTTTTTTTTTTTTGGTTTTTCTCACACTTTTTGTTGTTGTTGTTACTGGCCTCCATTGATAACATAGTTGTTGTTGAACTCAAGACTGCTTCAACGGGAGGTAATTCACGTAGCCGTTGAATTTTTTCCCCCCCGCCACTGGTATTTCAACCCTTCGTTTGGTAAAAAAATAATAGTGCTGTATTCTCACCCCTCCCACCCACCCACCCACCCCTTTTTTCCCCCCTTCTTCCCCTTTTCCCGTACCCGTAACTTTTATAGCAGTGCAACAGACCAATTTACTTATGCATAATATGACAGGGATTTTTCGCACGGCTCAAATATGTGTTCTCAGGTCACAATGGTGAAGCACTTTGAAGATAAAGAATAAATAACACGGGGAACAAGGGGAAGCAGTTTTTTTTAGCGTAGGGAGAATTTATGTTGTTGTTTTTTTTTTTTTTAAAGTAGAACGAGAGTGCACGAGATAACTTCGAAGTTGGAGGATGACGTGTGGCACTTTTCTGATGGCCTTACTGAATTAATAATTAAAATGAAGCATTGAACGTTTGTATATTAGATCAATTCTCAGCATTGCAACTATAATTGTTATAACATTCACCTGATGTCATGGAATCGTGTGATGTATTTAGGATATATTATACAGTAATGTGTAGTGTTCATTTTTGCCTTGTTTTTTTTTTTTTTTTAGCAAAGAGAGAGAGGGATAGGCGTTGATGAGGTGAATGAAATAGTATCGGCATAGGCATCGCTTTCTTTGAGGAAATACAGCACATTATTGGCTAACGTTTATAAGTGAAATTACTGAATCATAAACGCATACATTTCTATAAAAGTTACAATTTATAAATGTTACAAGCGGAAATTAATTGATTTTCGTGTATAAGTTGCACGTCAAATCATATCGAGACTTGATTATCAGTGATTTCAACAAAATTAGATTCATTTTGATAATGTGTCTGAATATAAAATATACATGAATGTCTTCACATATGGTAAGCATATCAACCATCATAACACTTTCTTGTGATAAAAAAAGGAAGCAAAAATAAATTTATAAAAAATTTTTTTTAGACAAAACTTAAATGAGAAGAATCCAATAGAAAATGTGAATTATCATTAAATATTCTCTAAAGCTTAAAGTCTAAATTGTACTTTTTATTTACTGAACGTTTTGGTAAGTTCAATTTAAATTAAGACTGATTTGAATAAAATCGACTTTTTTGTTTGTTGGAATGTTTTAGTTGGAAGGAAAACCATTCGTTTTGTTAGTTAATCATTTATTAATGAGAGGGTCGCTGCTAGATCTCAGGGTAAGAAACAAGACGTAAATATAAATTTATAAAAAAACTTTATAATATGTATTGCTGATTTGAGTTAATCATTACAACACTACATAATCATGAAACTATTGCTTAAGCTCTTCCTCTAGAACTTGAATAAAGATCGATTGGGCAATAGGTTCGATTTAACTATCAATTGTGCCAGACCTTAGACTTATTTGCCAATTTTTTCTTAATTATTGTTTTTTTTTTTTTTTTTTTTTTTTTTTTTTTTTTTTTTTTTTTTTTATTTTTTTTTTTTTTTTTTTTTTTTTTTTTTTTTTTTTTTTTTTTTTTTAAGATGAAATTTGACAGACACTTTTGTTTTTATAGCATGTGACTGACAATTCTTTTCGAAACCAAAAAAAAATAATACGTTACATCAGTTAAGCTTCTTCAGCGGGACATTTCAATTTAAAAAACTTGATTAACATTCATTTTTTTTTTTAAAGTTTGATTATCAACTTTTAATAATTCAGACTTTGGGTATGGGAAAAACTGATAAAGGAATATTGTTTGGTTGATGTAACGCTTTTACCACACAAAACGCTAAATTAAGTTGAGACACTGGCGATTTGTTGCCGCAGTCTTTTACTGCTCGGATCTTGTGGATAGTTCTGATAACAAAAATCAAATTTAGAAACCGACTAAATGAGATCCAATCAGGCCATTTTACCCTGTTATATTTATACGCTATTGCCTCTGCCTATTAAATGACGTGAGTGTCACTCGCATTCGTTGCATTAGACACGGAAGATAAGCCAAGCTGTGTGCCAGTGTCAGGAGACGCTAGACCAAACCATACGGCTACTGGTGAGTAGCTGGTCCCGCTTTGTAAGACTTTAGTTTCACACTTAACTACAACACAGCTAACCGACGACCGCTGCACACCTGGCCAAACGCCGTCGATCCATAAACCGAAACACTGTAGCCTATTGGGTAACACTTGGTAGGAATGCGTTCGGATTGAATCAATAATAAATGCACACACATGCCTACAAAAATTTTAATATTTGCAACAGGATTTCAATACTACATGCCTGTTACCTAAAGAAAAATGCAGGGGTTCTTAAGATGCGTTTTTATGGGTCCTTGTGATATATTTCATGTACAATTTTATCAAATTAATGTTAAACATTTATTATAAGAAAGAGCTTGTTTTTTTGTTATGTGAGCAGCCAAGGAGTCAATGGAACCTACAAGATGAGAACTCTGTTCATGTTTTGTATCTTTCTCAAAACGTTGCAACAATTTTATGAATAAAGAGTCACTTTATAGATTAAATTGTCGTCTAGACAATTCAAAACATTTACTCTAATGGATCACATAATTCATAAAATCATTTTAACTTTATCCCCATTTCCGTATACCAACACCTTCACTTTTGGGGTTTATTTATGCAAGTCAAGGGTTATGGGTCTAAACTATATGCGGGTGGACCGATGAAGTATGTCATTTGTTTTTATTTGTGTTCATGAAAAGAAGTTTTTCATTTTCGTCAATATTAACCATGATTTTGATGTAAAATATTTTATTAAAAAAAAAACATTTTAAAAATTAAAATAATAGAAATCAATCTATTTCTTTTCTAATTTTCCAATGTTTTTTTTTAAAATTTCAATTTAGAATCATACAAATACATTTTAACAGTGGTTTATCGCAGAAAGTTGAGAAAATTTTGTAGGCGGATTCAACCATGCGAAACGTTTACCTAGAGAACAAAGTGTTCGTGTCGGGTCAAGACTGTTTATGTCATCACCGGGGTAACGTGGGAAGGATCCAGGCCCCATACATAGTTACTGAAGTATAAAAGGGCTATCTAATGGGTTTAAAGACACCAGCCTTAAAGTCTGTAATTTAATGCAAAGTTTCCAATTCTCTTCAAGGATTTGAACACCTATTCTGAAACGTTAAGTTGTTGTTGGTGTCATTAAAATGATTGTGGCTGCAGCGAACAGTACCACTGGACGGATTGTCTTCGACGAAATGAAAGGATTACAGCAAAATACGGCAATCAGGACACGAAATAAGAAAAGTTTGTATGAGTTTTGCCATTTAAAAAAAAATGGAATCTTAATAATAACTTTTATAAATGTTTTGTTGTGAAAGTGCGGTTAAATTAATTAATCACCTTAAGTATATTTAGGAAGACTTTACAAAGTAGATTATTATAATGGCTAATGTAACTTAAAGTGAAGCACTAACAGTCCATCAATAAAAGCTTTTATGGATAATGCTGTAAAGTTTTAACAAATATGTATGTAAACAAAATTTCAAAATCAGTTCTAACATATATATATATATATATATATACACATATATATTATATAATACCAAAAAAAATGAAAATACAACGTGATCAGATTATGGTAGTAGCCATTGACGTTTCTACAAGCAGCAATCAGATGATGGTAGTAGCCATTGACGTTTCTACAAGCAGCAATCAGATTATGGTAGTAGCCATTGACGTTTCTACAAGCAGCAATCAGATTATGGTAGTAGCCATTGACGTTTCTACAAGCAGCAATCAGATTATGGTAGTAGCCATTGACGTTTCTACAAGCAGCAATCAGATGATGGTAGTAGCGATTGACGTTTCTACAAGCAGCAATCATTTTAAATTAATTTTATGTTTCCTATGGGTGGCCGTATCATACAATGTTTGATTGACAAAATCTTCCTAACTATTTTGGATAGGACATGTTGGCTTTAGGGTAGCGCCACCAATGTTTTTCTATCAGCTAGTTCTATTTAATTATTAAGTTTAATCTGATTATCTTTTATGTTTCTTACTATATCACACACGGTCATTAATGATGATTCCAATTATGCTTCATTTACAATAATTGTCGAAGCCTTTCCATTGTGTTAATGAAGATCACTTTAAACAATCTATTGAACTCTGTAGGTGGCCATCAATGCATTTAAACTTTTTTTTTTTTTTTTTTTTTTTTTTTATTATTTATATTTTTTTTTTTTTTTTTTTTTTTTTTTTTTAGCAAAAACTAATATATTAGTGAAATCGACGCCTCTGATAAGTAACAATATATCGGACAATGCATTGTGTCTACTCTAAGCTCTGATCAGTAACATTATACTGGACGACTTATTCTCTCCTCTACTTAGCTATCTGCTATTGTCAATTGATCTCTGCTTAAAGAGTACAAATTGATAATAAATTGTGAATGTTTAAAATCCAATTGATTAAAAATCATTTAAATCTATTCCATAAGTGTGGGAAAACCTAACATAATAATATTACAAATATTTTTTTTTTGTATTTTTAAGTACACGAACCTAAAGTTTTTAAAATAAGTTTAAAATGAATAAAAAATCATTGAATTGACTATCATTTTGTTACGTGACTAGTATGTTGATTAATGAAGTGTTACATGCCTTAGTATAACTCTTAGTGACAATTCTGTTGGTTATTGAAGTGTTACATGCCTTAGTATAACTCTTAGTGACAATTATGTTGGTTAATGAAGTGTTACATGCCTTAGTATAACTCTTAGTGACAATTATGTTGGTTATTGAAGTGTTACATGCCTTAGTATAACTCTTAGTGACAATTATGTTGGTTAATGAAGTGTTACATGCCTTAGTATAACTCTTAGTGACAATTATGTTGGTTAATGAAGTGTTACATGCCTTAGTATAACTCTTAGTGACAATTCTGTTGGTTAATGAAGTGTTACATGCCTTAGTATAACTCTTAGTGACAATTATGTTGGTTAATGAAGTGTTACATGCCTTAGTATAACTCTTAGTGACAATTATGTTGGTTATTGAAGTGTTACATGCCTTAGTATAACTCTTAGTGACATAAAAATACACGTATTTGTTGAGTCAGACCGTAAATCCCCGAGCCACCAAATAATTAATTTTTTATTTTTTTTTACTGTTCAAACATTAGAGAGTTTTATATAGAATGAATATTGGAGACTTTTCTATATATTCTACTTTAAAAAAGTTATGGAAACATGCATCAACAGAGAGATTGCAATAAGACATATTGGTCTTCTTTATTTCTTGTTACATTATGATGATTTGTAAAGAAAATAAAAAACCTTATGTATTGATACAGACTCAGGACAGCGGATACATCCAGAGGTACACTTTGAGGGAGCTTCCCCGCAGGAATTCTACTGCAAAAATAAAACCAAATATGTCTCATTCCCATCTATAAAACTTGAGTGTCTTCCGTGCGAACTGCGCCACGAATCCGTGCTACGGTTCCTGAGTCTACTAGGGACACTAACGTGTTCTGTCGAGGTTAGGAAAAGTCGCAAAGGAACGGGTTCACTGATACCAAGAAGCCTCGGTCAAATACGACGCAACGCAGCTTTTGATAAATTAACCAATGGAAGCTGCGAGAGAGGTAGAGCGGATGAGTACCTTGATATATACATTATAACATCGCGTGAAATTATAAGCAATGAGGAAGACGCTGCCAGCTCAACAGTTTATTTATATTACTTCAATAAGGACTGTACAGGGAGGGAGCAAGTTCGAGGAAGCTCGGTGGTATTCAGTCCTATCCCAGGTGACGGTACAGTTACCCTAGTGTGTCAAGCTCCCAGTTCTCTTGCCAGCCAAATACAGAAAAAATCTAAAGAGTTTTTGACATCACTTGAAGATATACCGTTGAACATTCAGAAATATTTGGTCAACATAGGTTTCATGGTAAGCCATCCCCATGGTCAGGAGCAACACATTTCTTACGGCGAATACAAGCTTTCGAAGTTCTATTCAGTAGGTTCAAGCGATTGTGGAAGCACATCTTCGCACTCCAGTGCTTCTTTTAAAAGTAAGTATCACTAGTCGCCAAAGTTAAGCGTACTTAAAATAAAATATATGTCTTGTTTTAACTTTGACCCAGGGCTTTTGAGAAACAATTAATTACATTGCGGTATAAAAGCAAAACAGATCCCTTTCTCTGAAGCAAAGTGTATGAGTTGAACTCCATTGTCGTTGGGTTCTTCATGCAGACTTTCCTTGTCAATAGTTTGCCTGAACGGCTTCTCGTTTCCTATTTGTCATTAAAGTCACCAATCAATATTTTAATATCATGTCGTAGCGCCTCTTCGTAGATCTTTTTCAGTGTCTCATGAAAGGATTCATTAACTTATCTTTCCTATCTTCGGTGGCTGCATGTACATTTGTAAATGTTACATTGAACATTTTTTCCTCGCACACGCAAAGAACACAGTCTTTAATTTAATTTTCTTTTTTGAAGCCTATGGCTGCACTGACTGCGTCTTTTTTTTTTACAGCAAAATCCTTTTCCTAGGGCGTTAGTGTTGTTACCACTAAAAATATGGTGTATTCTTTTTTTTTTTTTGAGGATGTCTCACTTTTTCCAATGGATTTCTTGCAATGCAGCAATAGATAGTCTCATAGTTCTATGAGATAGATGCGAGCCTTTTTACCCAACCGAATTTGATTAAAAACAGGGCTCGGACTAGGAAAACATCCTTTGGGTAAAAGGGCTAATATTTTTCTTGCTAGCTAGGTCTAAATGAAGTAAAATTGCTGGAGGTAAAATCCTTTTTTTCCCTTTAAAAATCCTTTGCATCTAACAACAATGCCATCAACTAATTTGAATCTTAGTCCTTCAAAATAGATTTTAAAATATATTTTATACATTTTTATTTTTAAATAATTGCCATAGCTAAATAGACCAATTTTATGGGTTCACCAACGATCGATCTAAATTTAGGCGTGTAAGACATAAGTATAGGTCAACCGTTATTCTGCAAGAATTACCCAATTCTCCAAAAAAAAATACATCTGGTCCAGAAAATCCACCGAATGCTTGGTCCTGGAGCGTCAAGCACGCTCTACTTCATTACGCTCATTAATACCATTAACGTATGCCTAATTATTAATGTGTCGTTTTATAAACATATGTACTGCCACATTGTGATTTATCATCTAATCGAATAGACCAGACGAACGCATCACTGAAGGCGATAGTTTATTCCTTCCCATCATGCGGTGGTTCGATTGGAGCACCGATAATAACATTCAAAGTCTGCAAGGATCGCTGCCAGCCGGAAATGTGGTTACACAAAGGCACGAATAGAAAAACTGGCGAAAATGTATCTGAATTTAAAGGTAAATTTTGCTACTGTACTATCATTATTATTGCATCTAAAAACATATACACTCGATTCTATTTTGTAACATCTGATTTTGATACAAGATCTTTTCGTTTCTTTCAAGCAAGAATTCACTATTTTAAAAAAAGGTAACAATTATTTCACAACGATATATTTTTTTAATTACTTCAAAAAATATCTACAACATTTTGTTTACAATGGATCTTTCTACGTATCGTTCTAGTAAGCTCAGAAAACGATGACGCCAATCCAGAAGCACACAGTGAACTAAAATCTGCCATCAGACATTCACCTTCGAGCCATCGTCCTGAGCGTTCACAAACCCCAGGATGTTGGACAGTTTCAAACAGATCTGTCCTCTCAATCTTAAACATAATAATCTCATCAGATCTGAAGTCCAAGCGGGCGAGAAGAGGACTTAAGCAAAGTAGATATGAACAAGAGCTGTCTGCTACACACAGAAACTTTCAACCCAAACTCTTGCGACAGAAATATACCCACAGTCAACCACGACGTCATCAAACAAACAGAGTATTACATCAGCCCAAATAACAACTTAAGGATGTCACATTTTTAATTTTTTTCGTTTACTACAAGCTAAAAATGTGATTTGTAAAATAAGATGTGTACAATTTCGCTAAGGTAACAATTAACATTATTTTTCGTAAGGTTTTTGACAAAGTTGGCATTAAATAAAACAAAAAAACGGGAGATTGAAATTAAATAAACATTTAATATATTCGCAAGTTTTTTAAAACAGTTCTAAATCAAAACATGATCAACATTAATTAATGATTATTTTTCAAATATAAAATATTTAGGAAACAAAAACAAAAATAACAAAGTTAATTATTTAATCACATTTACAAGTTATTTCAAGATGAACAATGGTATATTTTTTTTTAAATGTAGAGTCTATGTTGTGTTCCTTGAATCATCACATAACACACATGAAGGCCATTGGCTATTTTTATAGCTGTCCATAAATCATGTTCACCTACACATCTAGCTAGTCCCTTGAATACATGGCCTTTGCCATGTTCTTTACAAGTCAATGTTTAGCTGAACAAATCTCTTTTCACAGGCATATCAAGGGATTTAACTCGGCTCTCCGCAGATCAACTAATACACAGTTATATTTTCATTTTATTGACAGATTTATAGTATTAATAAAATTTTATTTTTCTAATGAAACTTTTCCATATGTTTTGAACGTGTCCGAAATTTGGGAACCGTTTAAGAAATGTAAAAGAAATTTAATTAAATATGATTTTTAAATGTCAAAATACGAAAACTTCAACAGCTCCTAACTTATCCAATGCAAGGCAAAACTCTGCTTCAAGTCCTCATTAGTAAACAATAAGTAACGCTATGACAAACACTTTTCAGATATTATCTTGGAAAGATAATTTCTATGGATTATTTAGTGTTAAATAATAACTATTTATACATGGCTGTTAAATATAGGAACACAGATAATACAAACTAAGACATAACTGGGGTACGATTTTTTTTTTTTTACACCGGGTCCAGGTACTTTGTTAAACTAACCTGCAGTTCAAGGTGCTACAAAAAAAAAGAGTTAACTACTCATTTTCGATAAAATGCAACGAAATCTACTGCCCTATGTCCGTAATGAGAGAGCATTGCCTTCGTCAACTGTTTGTGTCAAGAAATGAAACACTGATCGGAACAGGCCAGTCGCCGGATCCCGGAATAGATATGACGCTGTACAAAAAAAAAAGAAACCCAGTGGACAGAGAGGATACCGTCGTTCATTTTATAACGAAGACTTAGGGAAACAAAAACAGTCATGGTGTAACAAAAATTGCAATAATTTTTTGTACAAGGCTACGGAAAAGACTCACAGGCGCACACAAGTTGGAAGTGAAAGGACAGCCCATTACAAAAGTCTGTGTGGTGTGCAGCCCATGACTCAGTTCTGTGTGGTGTGCATCCCATGACCCAGTTTTGTGTGGTGTGAAGCCCATGACCCAGTTCTGCGTGGTGTGCAGCCCAAGGCCCAGTTCTGTGTGGTGTGCAGCCCATGGCCCAGTTCTGTGTGGTGTGCAGCCCATGACCCAGTTCTGTGTGGTGTGCAGCCCATGACCCAGTTCTGTGTGGTGTGCAGCCCATGACCCAGTTCTGTGTGGTGTGCAGCCCATGACCCAGTTCTGTTTCTGTGTGGTGTGCAGCCCATGGTCCAGTTCTGTGTGGTGTGCAGCCCATGACCCAGTTCTGTGTGGTGTGCAGCCCAAGGCCCAGTTCTGTGTGGTGTGCAGCCCTTGACCCAGTCCTGAGTGGTGTGCAGCCCATGACCCAGTTCTGTGTGGTGTGCAGCCTAAGACCTAGTTCTGTGTGGTGTGCGGCCCATGACACAGTTCTGTGTGGTGTGCGGCCCCAGAACAAAGATGTGAAAGAAATTTACATTTTAATATGTTCATAATTCCTTTTTAAATATTTTTTTTTAAAAATCACCAAAACTACAAGTGATCAGGCGTTTCGTATCAAGCTCGCTGTGTGACCGAGAGGCATACGAACGATAAAAGCACAAAATAATTGTCGCCTCTCGCTAAAGGAAATAAAATTCAAACTTTTTCAGACCTCACGCGGAGTCTCGCTGCTTGACAGATCCCCCCCCCTTTTTTTTCACCCCCCCCCCCCCCCCCTTTTCACCTCCTCACTCATTACTATTATAATAAAACATATGGATTTGGTGGAAGGGGGGGTGGTTTTGAAGATGAAGCATGACGCACCGAATGCGACGTAGTGTACATTAGAGAAGCTAACGTTTTATAATCCAACTGAACCCAAGCCTTGTACACAATCAGCGTGTGTTATGCAACTGGTATCGTTTAGTTTAATTAACCAAACGAATATAATTGGAGTTTTCAACTCACTACAATCTTTTTTTTGCCGACCGCTATTTCAACTTGTTTTGGGAGGGGGGGGGGAGGGGGGGAAGGAGGGTATCACTTATACACACTTATATTTCTTTATACATAATTTTATAAACGCTAATGGATTTTTTAAAAAAACCACACACACACGTCAGGCGTCAGCATTTTGAACATAATACATCTACTTGTTCACCATAAGAATTTGTGCTTGGAGACACGCAGCAGTCAGCGATGAAATTATCCAACTATTGATAACGTGCTTTTAAATTATTTCAAAGCATATTTTCAAATTTGATGTTAATTGCCTTTTCTAAAAATAAAAATGAAATTACTGTCTTTACATAGTATTTTAATGAAATTACTCTCTTTATATAGTATTTAATGAAATTACTCTCTTTATATAGTATTTTAATGAAAATACTCTCTTTATATAGTATTTTAATGAAATTAATCTCTTTATATAGTATTTTCATGAAATTACTCTCTTTATTGAATATTTTAATGAAATTACTCTCTTTATATAGCATTTTAATGAAATTACTCTTTAATTTATATTTTAATGAAATTTCTCTCTTTATATCGTATTTTAATGAAATTAACTGTACTTACTTTAAATAGTATTTTAATGAAATTACTCTCTTTATATTGTATTTTTATTAAATCATTCTCTTTTTATAATATTTTAATGAAATTACTCTCTTTATATAGTATTTTAATGAGATTACGACACATGAACCATTTCAAAGTAAACAAAAAACTTCATAAATTAAATTTCACAAATTTCATCGCGATAATTAATCTTTGTACTTTCAATTTGTTTGGGCATAATACATACATTGTTTCGTGTATCTTTGTCAAATGCGATAACAACATTAAGCTCTTTTTTTCTCAACACTTCAAAATATTTTTTTAAATATCAATCGGACTAGTTTTTATTGATTGATTCATTCAATAAGTACTTCTTGGGATACAAAAAAAGAATTATTTTTAAGTATAAATCAATAACAAAGTGAAATACACTTATGTTTGCGCTTCTTTTCCCAGGACCAATCAAATCGATTCGAAACATTGATCGAGTGAAACAAGAAGTAAAATTATAGCAATCGCTTCAAATGAAAGAGGTTAATGTGAGAAAGAACGATGCTTTGTGGAAGTTATAATACATAGAATTAAATCAATTTTTTTGCAATCAATATTTTAAATATTTACGCACGCCTTTGTTAACCACGGATAAGCTGACATTATAAAGAAAACAACAATTATAAACAAGTGTAACGATTATATCGTGTTGTATATTTGATTAAGAATGTGTAGTTTTTTTTATTGTTGATGTCGCACGTTGCTATGATATCATTTGCGTCAATAATACAGCTGTGTATGCTTGCGCAGAAGTAATCTATTTTATGGTGTGTGTTCTGTCTCAAATAGTACTTCTGGTCTATGTGCTCAAAGTAGGATTTCGGGTCATTTGGCTCAAGTAGTACTTCTGGACTACGTGGCTTGGACTATTTTTTTAAAAAAATTCAAATTATAAACATACAGTTATAAGGCTACCTTTTCTTTTGCTGCCATCCGTCAGTCACAATGTGACGATGGTGTAGACTTAGCAGGACGAAATCCTCGAGGCCTTGGATTATTCTTAATCAGGATTATAAGCTGGTTCTCTAGCTACCAAATTGCGTCTCTCCAGGCCGCTTAATACGCCAAGGGAACCAAACACTAAACACTCAATAATAATACATCATTCTGCCAGGACAAAGTTATTAGTAATGGAATTTGAATGTGCTCAATTGAATTCAGTACAAGAATAAAATAATGTCCATCTTCAATTTTGTAACGAACTTTTTAAAACGCATCAGTTTTGTCTTGATCATTTCACATTGGAATACTTTGGAAGGCCTAACAGTTCAACAAGATCAAGGCTTTTTCTTTCAGTTTATAAACGGACACAAGCTTTTATTGAAACCGCAATTGTCTAGTGTGACATCAATGCCCATTCCAAGTGACAGGAACGGATGTGTCTCTTACTGTTTGACTGACTCGTCTTGTAACAGTGCAAATTTTAGAATCTCCACCGGGGAGTGTTCATTGTTCGGAGCGAATAGTTGGGAAAATGAGTTCAGCATTTTTTCGGACATCGATAACATTATCATACAAAAAGTGGTGGCACCTTTAGTAATTCATGGACAGTGGACATTAGTGTTCAGGTTGGTATAGATAAATATCGTAAACAGTGGATGTTATTATTCAGGATAGTATGGATAGATGTCAGAAACATTGATATTGCTATTCAGGGCAGAATAAATACATTTCATGAACAGTGGATATTGGTATTCAGAGCAGTATAGATTCATTTCACGAGCAGTGAACATTAATTATTATTCAATTTAGAATTGGTACATGTTATCGACATCTGCCATTGTTATTCATAATAGAATGGATACATTTCATGGACAGTGGGCATTGGTATTCAAATTTGTAAAATAGCCAATCATTTTACTATAATTTGTTAACATGTTAAACAGACTTAGCAATGAGTCACAGCAGATCTCATTTGCCTTTCTCGTTTTGCTGTTGTTGGAGACGGCTGTACACCAATATATGTGAAACACCAACCCGATAATAAAAGAACAAAGCCTGGTGTGAAAGGAGACTAAGTATCGCCTCTGAATATGCAATTCTTTTAATTTTAACATACAATCCCATTTTTAAATGAGCGCATTACGACCAATTTTATTAAAAAGACAATCCTGAAATGTGTTAAAATATTTTTTTTTTTAAATAAATAAATAAATGATATTAAAAAATAAATTGTGATTGATCAGTTTCCTTTTGCTTTTCATGTTGTTGGTGTTGCGTTTATGTTCCTACCATGTTTTTCAGTCAGGCGAAAAACGTAGATAAGATATAAACGATGACTCAAAAGTCATGACTTTACAACATTCCTTTGAATTGATTTTCAAAATGGATAGTTTGATGAATTTTCTGGGCAAATATTTGACCTCACAGATGAGTTTTCCCCACCCCCCCCCCCTTTTTTTTTTTTAAAGACTGAATGATATCTCTAAACTTCATTTAGGTAAAATTTAAATGTAATACAAAAACTCTGAGATACGTTTTACGGGTTACAAGTATAACAGCTCCATCATACTGAACTTGGAATTTATTGACTAGTTTTACAGCATCCTCTGTAGGAACATTCTGATGAAGCGTGAGATACTACAGAGTTTTATCAGTTATATTC